ACATCTGCCACAGCACAGTGTACTTGCCTACAAAACTCATCTCAGACAGAAGATGCAATCTGAGGCTTACTTTGCACTCTCAATGCTGCTTTTCATCTAAGGTGTTGCACTTTTAGGCTAAGATAAAAGCTTTGATACTGGATGCTTACATTCTGTTCCCTCAGCCAGTAGTGAGGAAGTAGATTCCTGCCAAATTAGGACACCTTCCAAGCCCTGCACAATATAACACAGGTTTTAGTACCATGTCAAAACTACAGACAGATTGGTCTAATTTAATCCAATGCATTGTTTTCTGAGTTACAGCAGAAATGCTTCTTAAAAGACAACAAGTGATTTTCTCTGAAAGTGCAGAAAAAAAGCGGGTCTTTGGAGAAATTCTTGCTGGCTACCAGTGACCCGGAGTCAAACGCAGCTGTCACAGCCTTTGGTGGCCTCTAGTGGCTGTTTTGTCCGCATCCCAAACTCATCACATGATTTGACTGCCAAGAGCCCATCTGCTCCGCTTCCCAGCCCTACTTGCTGGATCACTCCAAACCTGGCATCAGAGTGAGACGACGATATCGCGAGGGGCAGGAGGGGAAAGATAAAGTAGGAGTTGTTACAATCTTCTTAGATGCCATGTACCCATCAAGATCTACCTGTCCTCACCACCTACAGTAGATTTCCTGTCACCTGACAGGTATAAACAGTGGCAAGGTAGTTCTTGTTCTTGAAATTATGTTTTCCATTGATTTTCTAACACAATTTCTTTTTAAGCCACAGCTTAAGCTGTGATGTCCAACAATGAAGTCAAGAATAAGATGTGTCTTCATGAAAGATTAATCTTCACTTAACATTGTTTTTCAATTAGTTTGAGGATTTAAAACTTACAAACACGGGTCTTTAAGAACAAAATACTCAAGTAGTTCAACAGTTCTTCAAAAGCAACAATTTGATATGAAGTGAATGTAGAGCTCAGGGGAGCTGTAGACATCCCCTCTACAATGTATCAAATCAAACCTAATGGAAAGTAACATTCACAGTAAAAGTCTTCTAAAAGCAGTCTAACTTTCCCCAAGTTGGGTACAGTTCTCAGATCCCACCACACTGTCAAATCACCAACAAAGCATTGTGGTGATCAGATCAGCTCTGAACCCATCGATCAATTTCAGATTGGATGAAATTTTGCTCTTCTGTATCAGGGAAGCTGAAGTCTACAAAGGCTTTAAAAGCTGTTCAACTGAAGGGAGTGGAGACACTGGAATAACAAGTTCCCATTCTGCACCAGACACTGCCCAGCAAAGGACTCTGTGTTCTCCAAGTTCATGGTTACTCTCAAACTCGAAAGCGCTACTCAAAGGACACAAAATGCTGCACAAACATTACAGCAAACCTCCTTCTCACGAGGGAGGGCCAATGCAGTTTCTGAAGCTGACAGAATGTCTGAAAACCAGACCTGAACTCCCAATAATTTTGTGCAAGTTCCAGCTCCAGCCCAAGTTACAAGCCATTTCTCTTCAGCCTAAGCAGATTTCCTGTCTCTGGTGTTCACTGGTTCAAGTGAATGGCCCCAGACAAAACACTGTATTTGCCTTTGAGCAGTATCTCCCTTATGCTGCTGGATCGTAAGCAAGGCCAGAAGCAATCTACATGCTTCCATTTTTGTAACAGACTATTCAAGCACAGTTTTAATTCAATACTCTTTATTATGATATCCAGAAAAACAATAACAAGGTGATTGCTTATTACAGCTTCCACAGACCGGGGCTCCAGACCTCATTGTCCTGGGTACACACACGCGCACGCACACACACGCACAAAGGACAACTCTTGCCACGAGAACTTACAATCTACATAAATGAAACAAAGATAATGATTAACCAAGAAACAAAGAGGAGGAATCACCTGCGTGAGAACATGAGTTAAGTTTTGGCTTGGTTTCTAGTCTGGAGCTCAAGAGTTGAAATTCCTACCCTGTTATGGTATTCTTGTCACCATGGGCTGAATATTTATCTGTTGATTACAGTGCAAGATACAGTCTTCAACATTTAAAAACAAATATAAGGAGACACAAAGCTCTAGACCATAATTTTTCAAGTGGTATACAGCAAAACTACAGTCTAGAGATTCAGAGATCTTAGGTGCCCAGTGTCCTAAGTGAGAAAGGCAGGGAGAGTAAACTGCAATATGCAAAGCAAAACCATCCAGGAATATCAACTTCTGTTAAACCAGACTGACTAACTTATTTTTTTTTTAATCCAGTATATCAAATTGCCTAACACTCTCATGTCTGGCATGAAGAAGTAACAACTATGCTGTGCTGAACGACAATGCCTGACCTACAATGTTAACCACAATAAATACGGACAAAGAATGAATACTGAAATGCTATTGAATTATAAAGCTACACTTTAACTGCTCTGATTCTGCAAAAAGTTTCAAACACAAAAAGAAGTAAAAGGAGCTGTCATTTCTGGCACTCACATCACAGGCTTGCCATCCTTGAGCTGGATAAAACTAAAGTATCTGCAGAAACCTAAAATAAAAGTGACAGGACACATAGAAAGAGATCAAGAGCAAGTGTATTGGATTCAAAACTAGGCCGTATGCTTTTTTTTTTTTAAACCAGAAATAAGAGTTGTTGCCTTTTGAATTGGCAACATCAAAAGAACTTCTCTAAGAGGCAGAAAGCAGACAGCCTACTGCTGCTGCAGCCCAGCACTCCTCACCCATTGCTCACCAAAGGGAATGGACAGTTGCAGACGCCAAAAGCAGTCCCATTTCACCCGCAGCACTTGCTACGTGGGCGTGAGCTATATCCAAGCTGTTTTGCAATTTATTCATCCTAAAGAGTTTCAGTTCCCATTGAGCAGGTTCTGCTGACACTCAACATATTGACGTGCTTATTTCTTTTGCACGTCTGATCCAGAAACACTCCAGCACTGATCCTATTTTAGTTCTGGAGAGCACACAAAATTCCTTATTGTATACAGATTTAGGGTTATCAGATCCAAAACTGAGTAGTTCAGGGAGCAGTGTGAAGAGGGGATACTCACCAGACATCCACCACAACAACTTACGATATATAAAACAACCCCAATAACAAACCGACAAGCATGGGCTAATCCAGTGCTCAAAAGATAATCCACAGCTCACAATGTAAGAAATTCAAATATGATGAACAGATGATAACTGACGTCAGTCCTTTGAAGTCTTTCTTTTTAAAGGATTTTCTAAATATTCCCCAAGCCCTCATTTTGTAGGACATTTTTGTACCCTGCACCAGAAATAACCTAAATATTTGCATAATAAGATTCAGGCATTAAACCACAGGCCCCCCCTCCACACACCATCTCTGTATGCAGGCTCCCACCAGCCTGTAAATGTTACAAACATCACCACTGTCTCTATTTTGTGTTCAAGTCCCTTCAATACTGACATTTTCCAGCGAGAACAATTAGGACAGCAATGATTGCCACTGCAAAGGGAGCCTATTGAAACTGCCGATCTCCAACACTTAAAACACAGGCCCAAAGGGCTGAGTCACAAATGGAACCAAACCCAAGTATGACCTAGGAATCAGCTGGTGAACTTCCTGAAAACAGGAAAACAAAATAAGAGAAACCGAACAATCCTCCCTTCCATGTGCCAAGACACGCATGCAGTGTCAATTTACAATTCTTGCAAAGCTCTCTGGAAGACCTCTTCCAGTACACAAAGGGTTGATGTGTAGAAAAAAAATAAAATCTCACACCAAAAAAGCAAAAAACCCATAGCTTCCTGGCTGTTAAGGAAAGTATTGTTTGTTTGATCCAGGACAATCTACATTTTCAGAATCCCTATTTCTATACTGCCAGTATCCTCTTGCACTGCTTGGAAACCCCGATGACAGATAAAAGGTATCTCAGTACAGTAAACCACAATGAGTATTTCCCCTTCCCCCACAAGATCTGAAAAAATCCATTAATATTTAATGGATTTGGCATGTAGGAACTACCAGAGAGACCAGGTCCCTCCTGGGACTGGTGACTGGAAGCCTTTAAAGATCTCCCACACTGTAATCTAGTGTAATTTTTAAGCAACATGCTGCTTGTTGAAAGAAAGGGGCAGCTGCCTTAGACCCTGATTGATCTTTACCCTGCAACTTTTCTTCTTGCACATAATTCTTCTTCTTATACATAATTACTTGTAAAACTCTGGGGTTACTATTAGGCAACTAACCCAATGAAAAAAAACCAGACATGCTTGTTTTCAGGTGTACCAGCTCCCTGGTCTAGCTCACCATGCAAACAGAAAGGCTTGCTAGCTAAGGCAAGGGACAGAGCCACAATTCCGGCAGCAATCCACATTACTTTCAGGCTAGCATGGCTATGGAAATCCTCCCCTTTCCTTTCCTATCAAGTTTTGCCCCCAGCAGAATCAACTCAGATGCAGTCAGTCAGAAATCTTCAAAGAACAAAAAACTGCAGATGTGTATTGACCATTTTTACAGAAATCAAATTACCTATACCAGAGGACCAAGCCCCAGACTGCTTATTTTGATTCTGGGTACTATAACTCATAAACATGACTAAAATTTTCAAAGGAAGAGTATTTAGAAAAAAATACCAACCGCTTACAGATAACTGCTGATTTTCTAAATGCATTATATCCCAACATACATAATTTACCTTCAGCATAAACTAAAGTTAGAAGAAATAGCCTATGCATTTTCTCTGCTCAGCAAATTCCTTCACCATTCCTAAGTCTGGGCATGGGATGACAGTATTTCCAAAGAGTGTTTTCACATTCATGGATGATTCAAGCAGGAGAAATCAGTCTTTTTAACCAGTCAAGGAGAAAGTGTCCAGATGAAAACTTAAACTCTGAAAATTAATTTCAGCTGTTCTGCATTCTTTGGTTGTACTTTGAAATTAAATATAATCACTTTAAAAGTAAAACACTGGTTTTGAGAGAATATTCTGGCACATAAACACATATTTGAGGGTCAAAAAAGGCTTGAAATCATCTGCTATTAAATCTTTTTTTTTTTTTTTATTGTCAAGAGTTTTGACAAGATGGGGCAAAGAGAAAGAGGTTTAAGAGAAAAAAAAAACCCAACCAAACAAACCCTATCCACTGTCTGTGTAATTATTCAATCCAAATCCATCTAAATGGACAAAGCTTTCTCTTTGTGGGACCTGCTAATTGATGAGGATAAATTAACTACTGCCTATTTTATTTGGCATAGGATATAATGAACTCAGTCATTTCCATTTCTAATTTTCTTGATGCCATAATTAAGAAAACATGATTAGGCAACTAATCTCCTTCCATCTTACTGAATCCCAGATTACAAGCAAAGAGCCAAAAATGCAATAACATTTGAAAATCAATTTTAAGCAATTCAGAAGAAGCTATCCAGCCAAACAATACTCTTACACTAAAACAAATAATATCAAAATAGAAGTCTCAATATCCTCTAAGTTTATAAGTGTTTCCATCCCAAGGCAGATAATTAAAAATTACTGGTCTTGCCTCATCAAACATGATAAATATGTATTTTTAGTTATGAGAGAAGAGACAGAAAATACTGGCTTCCAATATTTCAACCAAATTCTAGAACAATTGTTGTTACTTTCCATTACTTTGCAGATGCCAACAACTCCTATAAGGCATTGATGAATATTAAGCCATTGTGGAAACAAAAGTGCTTTTGTAAATGTCCAAAGGACAAGAATGTCTGTCCATAAGGCCAAAAGGAGACAAAAAGCAATGTCAGTATTAACAGTCAAGAATATATTCTTCTGAAGTTTTTGGAAATTAACCTGAAGTCTACATTTCAAGACTACTGTGCCAAAGAATGAGGTTTACAATAAATAGTTTGCCTTAGGGAAACAGCTATTACAACCCTCAGACTCCTATAAGTCTTGAAGATCTCAAGAGGTACCTTAAATGCTTACTTCATAATTTGTTTCTCCACCCTTTATGATTCTTTCAGCCCCAGTACAACCAGATATCACAAGCAAACTGATTTAGAGTCCAAGCACCAGACTAGACACTTAAAATTTACCCTCTTTGGTTTAAGGTACAAGTTGAGAGCAAGGCACACAGAATCTGTGAAGGTTTTCCTAGAAACATCAGACACAAAACATGATTTTGAACAAGAAGTATATAATGTACATGATTCTCAAAATTTCCGAGTTCCAGTTTTCCAGTTTCGTGGCCAGATTGGACATTCGCAGCTCTACCCCTTCCAATTGAGACATGGGATACCTACTTCTACTGAAGCAGACTGGGCATATTAGAGGGCACAGAGTTCTCAAGCTAAGCAAGTGTAAGTCTGCCAAGTCCACTTCAGGAGCTGTGAACCAATTACTTGAGAACTGTGACTGTAACCAGATGAAAGACTTAATAAATGATACTGTAATAACTCTAAATAGCACTTAACAACTGAAGAATGGATAGTTACTTGTAGTGAGGATTTTGTACTAGAAACCTTTATTCTGAATAGTAAGCAAAATTGAACTCTAGAAAATACAGAATGCAGATTTATAATTTTGTTTGGTATAAACTCAATTATAGTAACAGTTTTTAATTAAAATTATTTTATTTATCAGCTTGATTGCTCATAATTGCTCCTTAATCAATAAGCAGTTCAATACTTGGGTTAACTTGATAGACTAATTCAGCAACTTCTTCTTAAGACTGCAATAACTGTCTCACTCCTTCTCAAGTGAAACAGGTTGAATTATACCTATTACAAAAGTGTACAGAGGAAACATCATCTGCATATTAAACTGGAAAACTAACTGGACAAAGTTTCACATTGAATACAATTATGAAAGATAATGGAAAAATTCTTCAATTTAGATTTTTCCAGTTGTAGCAGAGGTCACAATAAATCAGTTTTAAGAAGCTGTAGCTTTTAAATATTTTTTCATAAAAATATATATAGGAGAAATCAAACTATTTCCTAACAGAGGTGAAACAAAGCAAAGCAGTTAGAATAAAGGAATGTTTCTCATCACTTGATCCATTTATCTAATCCCCTCTTCACAGAGCATTAATTGCCTCCCAAAACAAACACAACACATTGTAACAACCTCCACCCACAAAATCAGACAGACAGGTTTTCCAAGAAGGTCCAACACGCACTAATTCTCCAAGATACGTACACTTCAAAATCACAGACAGAAGTGGACAGTGCTAATCAAACCAACTGTTTCTATGCCCATAGAAACCTCCCTTCTAATTTTCAGGTGCTAAAAACTGTATCTCAAAAAAGTGTTGTGCTCCTCGTAAGAGATTTCTAATCAACAAACAATAAGACTCTGCAACATTTCCAATTAGTTCAGTTTTGTTTTAATTATATGGGGCAATTCTTAGAGCAGACATCGTGCAGCTAGTAACTACCAAATAAAGAGGTCTATTCGTGTGGTCTTGGAATCCCAAATTGAAATGTAAATTTGAGTCAAGGTAATTAACTGAAAACCCAGAGTATCTGAAAATGCATACTATGTTTTTGCTTCAATTTTGCAATACTTCTTGAGGAACTTGGAAAAAGTGAAGTTGGTAGAACAGTATCACCAAGATTACAAAAACTGGAAGGAAATAATACACTGCAACAGTGATCCTCATTAAGTTATTTCATCACAGTAAATATTTAAAAAAGCGTCAATGTTTTTTAAAAAGTGTTGAATCCTCCCCCCAAGTATTTGAAGAGAGATAAACCTTTTTCCTTAGTCAAAATGGTTTTTTAAAAAAAGTTTCTCAAAACAACAGCAATAATCAAAAAACATGAATTGTATTTTCTTTAATCCATAATAACTCTAGTGCTGAAGGGCCATCCATGTAAAAAGCAGATTCTTTGGGGACATTAGTCAATTAACTTAATAAAACCCAGTTTTACGAGGATTTATCCTTCCTGCTGCGAGGCGAGTCTGCTCCGTTTGAGGTCACTGTTCCATTTATTCCATTTTCTAGAAAAAAAAGAAGAAAACACTTTTCAAATACAGTGAGATGCTTTATATATTATTACATTTTTGTGGGTCCTACACAAACAGCCATTAACTTCTTTTCTGATTTACCTTTCTTTTACCTTCTTTGTTAAACCTCTTAATTATCACTTAGAGTGCAACAATAAAATGAAGTTTTTACAACATGCAGTATTTAAAGTTTACTACAATAAATTCCAGTTTCCTAATGTGGCCAGACACTGAAATGTGTGCATTATATATATCTAGACTGAAAATCAAGACCAGTTATGGTACTTTAGGAGATATTCTGTGAAAAAGTGAAGTACAACTTGATGATGAGAGGAGGCAGTTCTGTGAAATTTTGGAGACACGACATAAACACAATTCTCCGCTACAGGGCTTAATTATTTATCCCACCTACCTCATAATTCTTGCTAAAATTACACTCCTTTGCTTGCCTATACAAGCATTTGATACACAGAGGAAATCCTTTATACACAGATATAATTTTTAAAGTATATACTTTAACATACAGAATTCATTTATGTTATGATGAGGATATTTACATGGCTAAGACAGACAGAAGTAAAACACTAATTCAGATTTGCAATGAGTATGTGCAGGTGGAAAGAGTTCAAAGTCAGGCACCTACCTAAGAACAGAAAGCAAGAACATGTTACCAGCTGCAGCTCTCTAGTTCTATCCCACTTCAGGGGTAGAAGACCTCAAGAAGTTTAATCTGTTCAGGTATCACAATGATGATTTTGCTTTTTTTTGACTTTTTGCTAGCAAAAATTCCTCCCAAACCAACAATGCACACACAATCTGTGGATTTATAGTGCATACAACTAGTAAAGTGGAGCAGTGTGATACCATAGGGAATTAAAAGTATCCCCTTTATTCAGTTTCACCACAACCAAGGAAACAGATGTTACCTGACAGTAACTATAATTACAAAGCAGATTTAAAGAGCACAGTGCATAGCCAACTACAATGCTTGCAGCCTAGCACTTCTGCTCTGATTTATATCATTCTGACTTCAAGCAACAGCTGCTGGATTTCTGGGTGCTTTTAAAAAAGTATTTTAAATATATATATTTATATATTTTTAAAAAGGACTGGTTAAATTTATTTTCTCTATCTGCAGATGTGCTGAAGGTCACTAGAGAGTGTGGCCAGGCTACAAAAACAGTTGTTGGCCTCCTGCTTTCTGCCACGACACCCAAATGCTCTCATTTATGCAAACAAGCAAACAAAAAAAAAGTAACCATGAGAAGCACACATGAGCACAAGACCAAACACAGGCCTGAAGAGTCAAAGTCTGTTTGACCACATATCTGGTTGTAAATGAAACCACCATTTTAAGCCTGCATAAGGTGGTCTTTGGATATCTCTGAAAATGTTTGAATTATTTTTAAATAAAGAAACTTAAAAACAATTAATTTGGCCCAAGCCAGCTAACTGAAATCATATTTTCTTAAACAGTTCAGGTAAAACAAAGAACATGAATCAGCATGTGGCTGGATACCCCACCTACATCATCAGTAGGATTTTTCTACTGTCATTTCTTGCTTTTGGCATAGACTAAAAGCAAGACATTTTATTGTGCCCTGGTTCCCAAAAAAACATTCAACCACAAAAAAAAAGAAAGATGTTCTAAACAGTTCAATTGCAAATATTACTCTTTCAAAAACAGTGTTTTGCTGCACCCTATGCAAGGGCTCTGACTAGACAACATGAGTATTCAAAACAGAAGAATTTGAATGAACTGAGTTCTTTTATTTCCATTTAAAATAAGGAATAAAATTCTTCAAGACAGGCATAGTTCAATTGTTTTGTGAATTAAACCACAACTCAAATTAACTGACTTTTCCACTATTTGTTTACCACTTGCAAGTCTCCATTGAAGTTGGGTGAAACCCAGCAGATTCACTAAACTACATGAATGAAATAGATTAAGAGATTTTAGAAGCTATTACATTTCTGACTCCCTAATTAAATCACCACCAAGGCACATATTTTAAAATCATTTGACATAAAAGACTTAAATTAAAAAACCCATAGTGAGAAGGCCACGAACATGAAACTCTGATTAAAACAGGACACTTACATAGGAAACTACCTTCACTCAATTATAAAAAAAAAAATTCCAACTAGATTTGCAGAGGAAAAAAAAAAACAACCCCCAACACTACACAAAAGCCAAGTTGTGGTAATTATAAACCATTGTAAAGGTAGTCCAGCAGTACTCTAAAACACACAATTTTAATAAAAACAGAAACTTGGGAGAAATAACCAAATTATTGATCTCCCACCACAAATTTCAGTTCTCAGTGCAAATGGTCTTGACACACACTACTTTCAATACATAAGAAAGTGGAACAGGTTGGTAACACATGATTGGGAGCAAAGGATAATGCTGAAGAAAGACTTTGAAACAGCTTCTGCCATTTCAAAAGGGTGTTTTTTCAAGCTAGGAATTTATTCAAGCTAGCAACTAAATACACAGAAGTTGAACTGTTGGTGTGACAGCCATAATGAGGTACCGGGATTAAATTTTTTTCTTTTAAAGAGCACATATTTTTTTCTTGGAGGAAAGAGTATTCTGTTCATCTTTCATACCCTTTTCATAGAAAGGGTGTGACATAATTAAAAAGTTAAACCTGGACTCAGTTCATTTCCAAATGCTTCAACACAGGTTTAGAGTAGTAAGGTGTTATTACCTTTCCTTAAGGAAAAGGAATCAATTTCTGTTTTTTGTAAAAACAGTCCAACACAAAACTTTTTACTGGGTGGATCATCAAGCCATCTCTTTGCTCTAAACCTTCAGAATTTCATGGCAATGAAAAATAAGCTTGAAATCCACTGCAAGAAAATTTTACAAATAAACGTGTAAGAGAACAGATCCAAAATTGAATCTGTTCCCTTTATGTAAGGGAACAAAACATAGGCATGACATACTTTGTTCAAGAAATTAAATTAAAGAAAATAAAAATATCATACAGCATTAACTAAAAAACCCCAGTAATTCCTTAATTTGGGCAGCTAGAAAACCCAACATATATCAGTTTTTCTTAAAAATCTATTTTTCCCACGGTAATATTCATCAATACTGCTTCTGTAGCTGAGTCATCTCACAAGTTAAACACAAAATGCTTTTTTGAGAAGTCAAGGCAACAGAAAAACTGAAACTACAAACCTCTTTCTTTTCTGGAGGTCTTTCCTTTAGCTGATACAAACTTCTTTTTCACTGACTGAGGCTGAGAAGAATGCTCTCTCCACCTCCGAAGCTGGAAATTAATGAACTTCCACATCATAAATGCTTGAGTCATGCAGATGGAGGCCAGCACACTGATTCTAGAAACAAATAATAGGTAAAGTTTTATCAATAAGTTTGCCTCATTAATCAAACAGAAAAGGAAGGTAGAACACCTCAGGTTTTTTGGCAACTTCTACCCACTCCTCCTATGGAGTGGGAGGATGTGGAAAACATCCATTTTCTAAACCAGGAGTTTGCTTGCATGGGGTGACATTGAGCTTAAGCTCAATGATGATCAGATGATCAACACTGGATAGAGTGACAGTGAAATCTTTACCCATCAAAACTGGCAAGCACTAGGTTTCCTCTCCACTGTCTTTCTCAGAATTTCTATCAGGGTACCAGGTAGTAACAGTTGAAAATGGTTCAAGAGTTGCAGCTCAAAGTATCAATTTTGCAAGATAATGCTGACACTGTCAAAGTTTCAGTAACTTCTATTTTCACATTCATAAGAAGGCCAGGCAGTTGGATCACACAGCAGCAATAGGAGCCATAATAAAGGCAGAGAAAGAGGCAGTAATCTTTAACCAAGACCAAAGCTGCTCTGGACACAATGCTCTGACCTCTAAGATAAACTCATCACAATCATATCTAGAATTCAATATACTGAACTTTTTTTAACTAACTTTAAAACATTTGAAAGTAGGGTCTGTAATTGGCTATTCCTTTTAACTCTTCTTGTTTTTTTTCTTTTTTTTTTGTTGCTTGGGTTTTTTGTTATCAAAGAAGAGTAACCACTTACAGATTTCTCAGTTGTAGACTAAATTCAGTCAATTAATTTCAAAGCGCCTTAAAAGTTTCTTATATAAGCTATTCCTGTTGATCCCATTGGTTGCATGAAAACACTCATTCAGGATTACTGGCATTAGTGCCTGATCATTAAACTGTGTATTTAACATGGGTTTGCAGCACATGATTAAGAACTGTTCCAGGTTTACTATACCTAACAGCCAGGATATTAAAGTTCCCAGTACTGAAATTCAGCTGCTGATCTTCTGCTCTTGCCAGTCCAAAGCCAAAAGTGAGGACTGAGAGAATCAAGGTGAGAAGCCTTCCCAAAACAAAAAGAACTGCCCACAGTGAAAATCTAGAAATAAAAACACCACAAACACTAAGTAAGTTTTCCATTCAAAACACATGTACTAACAACACAAATGATTACCCTTCACCATGCAAATTTGTTTGAAACGTAAGCACTTACCTAAATACATGATTTTGCACCTATCTTAAATGCATCTTGTATTATGTTATGAAAACTGATTTCAACTAATGGAAAGTGCTTTCCAGTACTACTAGAATAAAAGCACAGTTTTAGTTCCTACAGAGCTGGCTGTATTAGCAATCTATCCTGTTCCTTTCTCTACAAAATTTTTAAAAAACCCACATTCATATATATTGAGAGATTTTATTTCATTTAGTACTGCTACTAATATTTACTTAAATAGGATAAAACAAGATAAAAAGTATACTGATGATTTAGAAATAGAAGTACTAACACTAGTCTGGAGAACTGTGGTCACTTAAGAAATACTGTTTGAACTCCCTTGTAATTTTGGTTTCTGGTTAGTTAAATGCAAAAAGCTCCAAGACAAAGTACACAAATTTTAAAGATAAAGACTATTTACCCTTTCTGGTATTTTTCATCACTGAAGTAGAAAAGACGGGATATGTGGAAAAGAAATTCAACGAAGTAATGCAATACCAGAAGAACAAGTCCAAGATGGGTCAGACTATCAAAATAAATAAAACAAACATTCAGACATTTTGTTAGATATTTAAGGCAGAGAATGGAGTCAGCAAAAGTTTACAACTGACTTACTTCAGGAGATAGGCTCCAGCAATATGAAAGAGGTAAAGTCCAATGTAGACAATCTGGCGAAAAATATCTTCCTATTTGGAAGAAAAAAGTGACCATGTGTTATAGACAATGTTATACAGGATTGTACTATGTTATCTGCTATTACAAACTATTCCCTAGTCTTGGAAATTCTTCTTGGTGTATCAGCTACCTTAATGTGGCCTGGTCTGGCACTGAATTACTCAGCCTGGATCATCCCATTCCACACATAACTTATTGCTCAACTACCAGTAATATTCAGTATCTTACATATGCTCCTGTGAGAAATGGCATCAAACATGGAAAGATGTTTTTTAAAAGGATCCACTTTTATTTGTTATGACCACCGTGAATTTATACAAGCTATTACAATACTTATTTTGTATGTATTACTGTATCATCAGATCCTACAGTTCCACATGTTCACTGCCCATCAAATTGTCAGATTGCCACAGAATAAAATAACAGTGTACAAATCAAAATTAAAGGTTTTCCAAGTGTTGACATAAATTTTAAGAATTCAAGGCCATCCAAAATTCTGGCACACTGTTTCTGGCAAATACAGAGAATATTGTTATTAACCACTCATGCTAAAACACATGGTCCCACTTTAAGCCAGGCTTTAGCCAGCCCTATTAAACTGAACACTTCATGGAGATGAAATAATAAAGAGGAAGACACACAGCGCATGGGAAGCAGATTGTGTCATCTGTGAACAGAGGAACCACTGAAGTATGCCAGATCACAATAAAAATCTCTTTTGGAGTGGTAGTAGCATACATTCAGTTATGCTTAAGAAACTCCTCTTTCTTGGAAAGAGTCTCTAACCTTCAAGAAAGGATCTTTAGCTTTATCAACTTTATCAATTACACATGTAATTAAAAAAGGCCTAAAATTTTAATCTTTCAAGATCTATACTATGTTATTCAATACTCAGTATCAAATCCAACAAACCCACAGAATCAAACAATTATGAGAATAGCAAACATCACACTCATAATACACAAAGAGCAAGAAAACAGGTGAAGAAACACCTACTCTAAATTATCTGAAAGAAAACAAAAAATTAGTTATTAGCCAGTTTGTTCAAGGGGTCCTGGGGTGACAAGAAGGAATAAGGCAAGGAAGCCAAGATGGAAGAGGTTAAGCAGTGGTTAAAGAAATATCAACTATGAGCTTGCTAAAACAAATGAACTATCACTCTTAAACTTAATGCAAAAGTCAGAGGGCACAATTTCAAGCAGTGACCAAGTAAAACACTACTATTCAACATACAGCACTTAGGGCACTTGTGACACCCCTCTTGAAGTTATTTTAAGAAGGATCTCCACACTTGGCTGTCAAGTCAAATTTGAAATTTAAAAAAAAACTGAAGTCAAATTTTTCAATATTTGAAAATATTCACTGACACAATAGGGGAACATCAGCTGCAGTGCATCTGCAAAACAGTATTCATACTGCATCTGAGCAGCATAAAAACACTTCATCTCGTTACTATTTTACTAAGCCTCTTCTAGGCTCCTGTACAAAGATCTGTGGTTATATAACACCTATGTTTCATTTTCTTGAATAAAGCAGAACTGGCAACAGACATGCAGCCTAGTTACAGAGCAACAACAGCCACAGAATGGTTTGGGCTCAAAGACACCTTTGCAGATCACCTAGTCCAGCCTCTACACCATGGGCAGGGACATCTATTGCTTGACCAGTTTGCTCAAAGCCCCCACCCATCCTGACCTTGAGCACCTCAAATGAAAGCAAATTCACAACTTTTCTGGGCATTATTTTCCAGTATCTCACCATCTTCATCATAAAGAATTTCTTCACATCCACTCTACACCTACCCTCTTTCAAAATCATTGTTCCTTTTCACTACAGACTCCAATAAAAAGTCTCTCTCCATCTTTCTTATAAAGCCCCTGTCAAACAGTGAGAGGTCACAAAGTCTCCCTGAAGCCTTCTCTTCTCCAGGTTGAACAACCCCACCTCCCTCAGCCTGCCTTCATAGTAGGGGTGCTCTAGCCCTCTGTTCATCTTCATGGCCCTCCTCTGGACCCTCTCAAACAGACCCATACCTTGCTTGCGCTGGGGACCCCAGAGCTGGATGCAGCACTCCAGGAGCTGTCTCACCAGAGCAGAGTAGAGGGGCAGAATCCCTTCCCTCTACCAGCTGGTCACTGGTAATGCAGCCCAGGTGACACCTGGTATTTTGGGGTGCAAAGGTACATTGCCAGCTCATGTCCCATTTTCATCCACGCATTTAAATGCTATTTAGATCAAATCCCAGATTGTCATACTCCTTTGATGTATAGAATTATTCACAGTTTATATTCTACACCTATATCATGAGTCATGAAGCAACTGTGATTTCAATGAACCTCTTCAAACCATCAATTCTGAGAAACAAATGAATAAACAAAATAGTTGAAAAGAAAATCTCACAATCACTTACTCTGCTGAAAGGGAAAATTCTTTCAGTGGATGACAAACACCACTAATTTTTATTTACACAACAGATATTTAGCAATTTTATTGCAATTAGGGTTTAACTGAAAAGAAAAAAAGCCACCTTGCTCTGGAGTTCCTCCCATTTATGTTTTGAACTTACTTTTTTAGTTTTCTGAAAGTACAGTTCTGGAAAAGCATGAAACCAGTATGCCAACTGTAAGATGTAGAAAAACTTCATTTGAAACCTGTACAATACAGCAAGAATTGAAGAATATTATTATGAATGAACTTAAAACATTTCAAACATTTCAGAAACTTCTAGTGAACTCATTTTATCACTCTCTCTTAAAGAAAGAAAAAATACAGATCCTTCATGCCAGCAAAGTCTAAACTAATATTTTTAATAACAAAATCAATAAGACAAAGCTTGCAAAAATGAAATTATTTAAGTAATAGCCTACATAAAAAGAACTTTGTATGCTACAAGTTGTCAAAGAATCGAACCCACATAAATACGACCAAAAATACTTTAGTGACTAATATAGTTTTACAACTACTTATTCTACACAGATTATTCATGACACACCCTAGGCTTAAAACACTCCCTCCTCTCCCCCAGCAACCCTGTAAGGAGGAGGCCTTACGGAATCAGAGTGTGCGGATAGTCCCTCCACAGAGAGGTTGGATCTGATATATAGTTCTCCTAAGAAAAAGAAAAGAACAAACAAAAAACCTCAGTAAATGCTCTAAGATGTTACTTTCTAGTCAGAAATAATGACTGGACATACATGCATGCATTTATGTACATGTACATGTGTACACACAAAAATACATTTACATCTACAAGTAAAAGCTGCAGATCTATAAATTTTCTTTTATTAAAATTCCCGAGAAATCACAAATAAACAAAACCAAACCAACCCAGAAAACAAATCCCCAAAACAAAAGACAGTTGCACTGGCTTATGAAAATAAAAAGCAACCAAACAATTCAAGTGATTATTCAAGACAGAATGTCCTTATGAGATGGAAATTATTCCAGGATTACTACAGCCACAAATCTTCACTTGTAAACTGCTGAAAAGCTTTGAAATTGACTAAGAGAAGGAAAGGTTTTCCAGGAGTTATAATGTTAAAATTAAAAAAAAAAAGAAGAAAGAAAAAGAAAAGGTAGTCTTCCCTTTCTATGAGCTAAGCTCATACACATCCAGCCACTAGCAAAGAGTAAGTCACCTAAAAGCCTGAGGTTACAGCAATCCGCCATATATCCATTCCCTAGGCTTCAGAATGCCATGTATGATGTTTTCTAAACATTTATTTTGTTAATAAACCAACACCAAAAGCCTTCAGAGAATGAAACACCATAATAAAGTTAAATAATTTTCTCTTATTCAGTTTGACAGTAAATCAACTCAAGACTGAGCAACAGTAATACAACTGAATTTATACTCAGTTATGACTACAACTCACACAGAATCCTTAAACTTGTCCCCACTTTAATATTAAAACTGTCTACAATCAGAAAAATAACCCCAAACCGTATTTATCATCAACATAAGTGAATTTTCTGAAATCTCATGATACAAATAGAAGAGAAAGCATACTTACAGAGACAAGAATACTCGTTCCCCAAACACAGGAGAAAAGGTAGAATGCACTAAGCTGCCCAGACTCATTGAACTTGCTATGCTTTGTTTTTGAAAAGTGCATTTTCCTGTTAATTTTCTGAAATGAAAGTCCACTGTTATTTATATGCTGCAGTACTTCACATTTATTTGGTAATTGCATTAGAGTATCTAAAAGTTTTAATGTATGTTTTTACAATTAAAAATTTTAATACGGAAGTATACTTTCAAGTTAATAGTTTTAAAGTCTAATTAAAACCAGACAATTATCTTGATGAAAGGAATTAATATTTTGTACTTACATCCAGTACATACTCTTGAATTATAGCATGTATGATTATTGCTACAAGCATGTAAAAGAAAATTGTAGCCAAGTCTTTGATGCCATAGTAATAGAGAGAGATTGTTTCTGCAGATTGTTCTTCTGAAAGACAAACAGAATTAACTGTTAGGCACCAACACAGTTTAATGGTTCATACGTTTATTTCTCAGAGTGAAACCTTTCAGAAAGAAATAGCTTGTAGTCAGCTGGACAAATAAATAAAAATCAAATTAAATTGCCACCATGAACACTAGACTGTTTATAGTTATCTTTTCCATCATACCACAAACTCAATTTGACTCTGGAAAGATGCTATAAAACTAAAAACTTAAATGCACTTAGGAATCTTACCCAAATGCACTGAAAGTGGACAATAAAAATATATTAAACTATCACCACACGCTGACTATTGAAGATGATCACCTGCAATGACAGAGTAAGAACTCATGTGAACTTATCTACCAGTCAGATGGTGTTTTGGCACTAATGACGAATCCAGCAGAACAGAAACACTGTCTTTAACTTAATTAGTTAACAGTGTTTTAATAAAAATGAAGTGAAATCCTTGCAAGCTGCTCATTGTCTATTAAAATTGACAAGTTCCCTTCCTGCCAAGTCTGGCATACTAATACTGTCTGTGATACACTGTCTCCTAACTCCTGCAAGATACATACCTGTGGCAGGAATGGTAACATTATACTGAAGTGTAACAAAAATGACGGCTGCTTTTGCTGTAATCTGAAACAGAAAAAAAGCAAATGTGCTGCAAATTCTCACGGAAATAAACTACATTAAACTGAAAACATTCGCCCGCGGTTTTGGCACCCTAACCCACCACGTCTGTCTCCTCTCAAAAAACTGACCAGCTCCCATTATCTCAGCACTGCACCTGACTTTCCAAGGGCAGCACACATGGTGTGGTCTCCATAGGTTTGTTACAGAATACTCAACCTGCCAAACTAAAGATCCTTGAAAAGGTTACTTACAAACAACCATTCCTACAACACTAAAATAAAAACACATGCTACAATTCAGTCTTTAGTCCATACTGTATTATTACATTAACGGAATGTGCAATATCACCGAGTCCCTAGACCATGATGCATTCAGCAGTGGCTGAGAATAAACTTTATTTAAAAGTACTTTTTTTACTTGACAAAATTTGGAAGTCAGTTATCATATTCATAAATCTGTGGGTGATCTGAAAAGTGTGGACAGGGAAGGAAAAAAGGCACAAACAAAAGAAAACTATTTCAGGCCAGTGGGATACCAACTCAGCACAATTAGCATTCTTTTGACCCTGGGGATCCTTTGTTAAGAAGCATAAAACAAATGAAATTAAATTTAGCAGTAGTGGTACTACCCCTTTATGATGAGCTGCAAGAAAACCTAGAAAGAATAAAAACAAATTGAAGAGAAGATGCTGTCATAATGGCTTTCTTTAGGGGCCGGGGTGGGGATATTCTAAAACCCCTAATGTATAAGATAGAGTACAAGTTCTTATTTGTAAATAAGCAGAAAATAATTTTTTACTATAACACATCTTTGTTGAATCCCAACATGAATCAACATGCCCTAAATGAGAGGGAAAAATAATTGTGCTTTACCATATCATGATCAGATGGTTTCTCATTGCTGTAAAAGCCCAGCATCTATCTGGTAATTACTAGGGTTGACAAAAAACCCAAGCTCCTTTAGGAGCCCTGGAAGGATCTGTTGAGCATCTGAAGATAATGACTAGGTTAATGCTAGTATTAATTATTCACAGGAAGTGAGATCTTTAAAACCAATGTTTCGTCAACAAGCCCTAGATTTTCTATGAAACCCTGAATACGTGGCAGGCTGTCCAGACTATGCAACTTCAGGGAATCCAACTAGTTTGCTCAAAGTAGCGAAGTTGCCTCGGGCTCCCTATTCATCAAGGGAGCCCTCAGAGGACAATTCAAAACAGTACTCAATTCTGAACTGCCCTTTGAAGGCTCTGTCAGCTACTCTCTTGTATTGGAATTGTACAAGTCAGGCAGTGTAAACACCTTACCATACCAACATTAACTGCAGCAAGTGACATCAAGTACCTATATCAAAGCATTTAAAACATTGCAACATATCACATCTGTACCAACAATGACACATGGCCTTTTTACACCGGGTTAGAAAACACAGTGGGTTAAGAAAAACTGGAAACAGAAGAATTCTTCACATTCAATCCCCCAAAACCACTGACCCTACCAGAAATACTGTTAATACAGTAATCCTGATGTAGGTACAAAAAGTAGCAATTTAGGTTTACCTCTTTAACTTCATTCCCCAGAAAATCACCATATATAACAGTTGTCTTGGTGATTTTTGATAGCAAACCCAAACACAACAGAGTAGCAGGTCTGCCCTGTTTTCACTTTCTATCTATCTATCTACTTCTTAACTCCACTAGCCTTTAGTGCTGAGCTGTACCATCAGCTGGACCAAACCATCCTGAAAACCGTCACTATAACAAAAAGGTCCACAACCCTTAACAAATGTCTAAAATAAATGCCTGAACAAATGCCTAAAATACCAGAAACATTTGGTCAACGGTGTCTTAATTTCATGACCAGTGATCTTAGATCACTGATAACATTTTGGCAGTCACACAGGTAAGTTACCTTTCCAGCGCCAAAAAGGCACGTTTTAAAGCACCCGCATTCAACATGGGGGCCCAGGGAGCGGAGGGCCTGCAGCAGGGCCGGCCCTCAGGCCGGAGGGAGAGCTCCCCTCTGCCGCTGCCAAACCTCGGCGCATCTCGGAGGCGGGAGGAAGCGGCGCGGGTGCCCAGCCCAGCCGCCGGGAGCCCCGGGATGCTCGGCGGGCGGTGCGGGGCCGCGGGCAGGGGGGACCCGGGCAGGGGGGACCCGAGCGGCGGCCGTAAGGACACGTCACCGCTGCCTTCCCTTCCCGCCGCGC